TTTTTTTTTTTTTTTTTTTTTTTTTTTTTTTTTTTTTTTTTTTTTTTTTTTTTTTTAATTTAGTGCGACCTGATGGACCACGGATCAGACAACTGACCAGAAGAGATACTACACTTGATCTTAGCCAAAAGGTCAAGAAAGGTGTGTATATTTTCTTTCCCGCTGTTTGTCTTTTGACCGTTTGCTTATGTCAGTCACCCTGGAAGCGTGTGTCTCTGCAAATCTGTTACCTCTCTTTCGTCCTTTCTCTTTATCCAGTTTCTCTGGCGGCATGTCTGCTTGTTTCTCCATCTGTATGTGAATCACTGGGTAACTGTATTTTGCTGTCTGTGCCGGTTGCAGGTTTCTTTCAGATTATTAAGAGGATAACGAATCTTCTTCTTGACCTAAATGTTGATGACCCCGCCACAAGTATAGAAGATGCTGCTCTGTGCAGACTTGCACATGAAGGACCTCACGGGTCGTYGTCTCCATTAGCACCTCCTGCATGTGTGACAATGGTTTCCGTCTAACCCAGCGGGGAGCAGCATAAGSGGTGATAACAGTGACGAGGGGAGCGGGGGAAAGGGGCGCGGGCAAACGAGGGTGAACGGCAGCCAACAGGATCGCAAACGGCAGCCGACAGCAGCGCAAACGGGCGTTCGTTGTGCGCTTGGTGACGCCAGTCGGCGGCTGTCGATATGGCACTGCGACTTGCGCAGGTTATCTTGTGGTCCCCATCGGCTTCACCGGGATTCACAAGAAACGATGGATCACCGCCAGCTGTAGCATCGGGTGCCGCATCAGCCGCTGCATGGCTCGGTGGAGAGCACCTCCAGGGAAGGAGCAGCTGCTCTGGTGGGAGCGGCAGTGGAAGCAACTATGGCTGGAACTCCAGCAGGAGGAGCAGCTGCAGCAATGCCACATGTTCAGGATGGACTGGGAATGGAGGTGAAGGGAGCTTCATGTTTGTTAGCCGGATGCGTGCGGCGGGAAGTCTACGCAACAGCGGTGGTGGCGCCACCGCTAGTACTCGCCACTTGGCTGGGTCAGGAACAGCGGAGGGTGCGCAGGCAACTGCACCCTGCACGTCATCATGGCGCAAGGGGATGAGAGCGGGGAGCTGCAGAAGTTGCTCTGTCCAACGACCCAATGCTTCTTCTTCCCAGACGCCTTCTGGGCGGGTGACTAAGAAGGTTGCTGGCGCAACCGCAGGAGCAGTACAGACCTCATCATCGATAGCCATTGTTAAGTACTCCGTCGGGGGTGGTCTCGGCTGCAGGTGGGGAGAAGGAAGCACCTTCCATAGCCATTTGCCGGCAGTGGGAAGAACAGGACCAACCCCTTCCTCCTCGTCCACTGTCAATGGCTTGCGAAAGAGGAATAGCCGCCGTAAGAACAGTCTCTGTAGATGCGAAGCTCCTGAGGCTGATGGTGGAGGTGGAAACAGTGCTGGTACTGCAACTGACGGCAGCAGTACTACAACAACTACTACTACCGACAACGGGTCTGCTGCGTCTACTGACTCGTCTGTGGCCCCTGCCTCTAAGGTCACTACCAGCAGCTCGGCTGCAGAGAAAGCTGTGCTCTCCGCTTTGGCCCAGATCATCGACCCGGACTTCGGAATGGATATCGTTTCTTGTGGTTTTGTAAAAGACTTAGCGATTGACGAAGGAACAGGCCACGTGTCATTTCGTCTTGAGCTCACCACGCCGGCTTGTCCAATCAAGGATGAGTTTGAACGGCAGGCCCGAGACAACGTGTCCAGTCTGGACTGGGTGAAGGATGTGAATGTGACGATGTCGGCGCAGCCTCCCCGTCCATTGATCGCTGACAGTATGCCTGCCGGATTGCGCAAGGTGTCGAACATCATTGCGGTGTCTAGCTGCAAAGGTGGGGTTGGGAAGTCGACGGTCGCGGTGAACTTAGCCTATTCCTTGGCGATGATGGGAGCAAGGGTTGGGATCTTCGATGCTGACGTGTACGGTCCCAGCTTGCCAACCATGGTGAACCCGGAGGTGCGGGYCCTGCAGATGGACCCGGAGACGAAATCCATCTTCCCCAGCGAATATGAGGGAGTGAAGATCGTGTCCATGGGATTCGCTGGTCAAGGCAGTGCTATTATGAGAGGCCCGATGGTTTCTGGGGTAATCAATCAGCTCATGACGTCCACAGAGTGGGGGGAACTTGATTACCTGGTGATTGATATGCCACCTGGCACGGGGGATATCCATTTGACTTTGTGCCAATTGGTCCCACTCACTGCCGCTGTCATTGTGACCACTCCCCAACGACTTGCGTTCATCGATGTTGTGAAAGGTGYGCGCATGTTCGCTAAACTCAAAGTGCCATGCGTTGCTGTGGTGGAGAACATGTGTTACTTCGAAGCGGGTGGCAAACGATACTTTCCATTTGGGGAAGGTTCTGGCCAACAAGTCGCCGACATGTTCGGTATTCCGTTTTTGGCACAACTGCCAATACGTCCGGAGTTGTCCGCATCAGGAGATTCCGGGCGTCCAGAAGTAATAGCAGATCCAGTGGGCGAGATAGCGCGCGCTTTCCAGGAGGTAGGGGTGGCTGTGGTGCAGGAGTGCGCTAAGTTCCGCCAGCAAGTGGCCACAGCTGTGCGATATGACCCGCAGCTTCGGGCCATAGTCGTGAAACCCCCAGGAGAGGAGGAGGAGTTCTACTTGCACCCCGCCACAGTCCGCAGAAACGACAGATCAGCGCGCAGTGTTGATGAATGGACGGGCGAGCAAATGCTGAGATACAGCGATGTGATGGACAACATAGAGCCGGAAGGTATCCGTCCGATGGGGAATTACGCGGTGTCGATCTCGTGGCCGGATGGGCTTACCCAGGTGGCGCCTTTCGATCAGCTTCGGGAGCTGGAGAGGCTCATTGATCCGTACGCACAACGAGAAGCGTTGGCATCAAGTGTGCTGTCACCGAACAGCAGCGAGCGGACCGGCAAACCCGAGGAGGAAGATGGAGAATGGGAGAAGGTGGTGGAAGAGGAGGAGGAGACGCGGARARCTGCAGGTGAMCGTGCACCTGCTATGGCGGGGGAAGGGGAGAAGCTGACAGGTGCGCAAACGATCCTGCGCAGTGCAAGTGGTCTTCAGAGAGAGAGGCATGCAGCTCAGCAGGATTGATTGAGGAGGTGTGGAATACGTGTGCATTGAGAGAGTAGGTACAGATATGTATGTGTGGGGATGGGGAGTAGGCGTGGACCCTTGTCTGCATCATGTTGTGAGTTTGGGACCTTCGTGCTGCTCAAGGTCTTGGCAGAGGAGGGGGAACTGAGCGTGCTCGTCGTGTGCAACGAGAGAGCAAACATGACATGGAGGAGCTCAACAAGAGCAAAGATGGGATGGACATGCGCAACGAAAGCAAAGATGGGAGGGACGATCTCGTGCTGAAAGCGAGACGGAGGCCTAGCTGAGTTGGTACACCTGTGAACTGTGGAAACACAGTCACAAGTTTGAATCCAGATGCAACCAAATGTAACTCTGGACGTGCTCAGGCTGATCACACCAATGCCGGGTGTGTGTGCTCAGCCCATGGTGAGGAAGGGAAACACTCTCTATGTAAGCAGGCGATCGGGAGTGATGTCAACATAATTAGAGTAAGGATTGGTCAACATGAGTATGCCAGGGCTGTATGTGCTCAATCCAGGTGGGGCGGGTTTTGCCCAAGCTTCTTCTTCTTCTTCTTCTTCTTCTTCTTCTTCTTCTTTTTCTTCTTCTTCCTCTTCTTTATTATTATTTCGCATCCACACGTTCGTCGAGGTAACCTTGCACAGGTGGGGAAGAGTAATTGTCCCAATTTGTTAGTGACATCCATAGAGGAGGCTCCCGCTCTCGAGGTGTGGCTAGATTTCTTTTGCCTTTTTTCTTTCTTTTGTAGATGATGTTTTATTTCATCAGGAGCAGGGAAATGGATGGTCGAAT